GCCGCAGGGCCTCGCTGGCACCGTACGCGCTGCGAACCTGCGCCCACGGGCGCCCGGACTCCGCCGCCATGCGCACTGTGGCCGCCACCGCCAGCCCCACCCGCGCCAGGCTTGGCTGGGAGCCCCAGTGCGCAGCCTAGCGACTGCTGGGGCCCGGGCAACGCACAGTGGAGAGGGCCACGGGGACAGCTGTGGGAACATCCGAGGCCGCGAGGGATCCTGCCTGGGGCCGGGAGAACCCTGGCAAGGCGGAGACCCGAGTGGCGGGGCCGCAGGAGGCTGGGGGCGGGGCACCCCGCACGCTTCAGTGTGCTGGAATTGCCGGCGGGGACACTCTGTTGGTGGGTCCCAACAAAGGGCTTGTACCAGCTTCTGGGCAGAGGTGACAGGGCGTAGAGCAATGGTTGCAGAAGCCCAGGTGTTGAGACCAGAGTTAGAAACAGAGCTCACGTCCTCTGCATCATAGTCAGGGGAAACCAGGTGTGGCCATGGACCCAGCAGCCCTCCTCTCTGGCTAGAGCCACCTCCTTCCATATCGTAGTCCAGGCCACTACTATCTCCCTACTCTGTCCCCCACAGCCCACACACAGCTGCAGGAATCCATCCTTGTCATGGACACTTCCGTTCAAACTCTTAAGGGGTCTCCATTGCTCTGCTGTGCCCTGCCCTCAGGAGGCGATGGAGGTCACAGCCCATCTCACAGTTTGGCCACATTTTTTAAAAAATATGATTTTTTCGAAAGAGGAAGGGAAAGGGAGAGAGAGAATCATAGATCAGCTGCCTCCTGCACACCCCCTACTGGGGACCCAGCTGCAACCTGGGCCTGGGCCTGGGCCCTGACAGAATGAACTGGGGACCTCTTGATTCATGGATGGATGCTCAACCACTGAGCCACTCCAGCTGTGGCCACATCTTTTTAAACCTCCTCTAACCCAACAACCTTCTCCACCCCTTTGGGCCTTTGCTTAGGCCCCTTCTCCTGCCTGGAATGTCCTCTCCCCCGCACGTGCCTGGCCAATCTCATTAATCCCACTTTTGCATGGCAGCCTGCCTTGACCACCCCACACCAACCAGGTAACTCAGGCGCCTCCCCACAGCACCTCTCAGTCAGTTTAAATGGCTTTCTGTTCTGTCCACCTGGATCCACAGAAGGGTTCCTGAGCACAGGGCTGGATCGCATGGTGCTCAGTGGTGCTAATCATGCTGAATGTTGGGTGAAGGAGTAGCTGGGTGAAGGAGTCTAGGGCTGATGGTCCTCTGTGGGATGGGCCTCCTCACCCCCTTCCCCACCCACCCAGGGTGGCCTGTGTACCTCCTCCACCTGGCATTTGAGGCCCTTATGGCCATCCCTGCTGCCTTTCCTGTCCCAGCCACCTTCTTTGAGAGCCCCTCACCACTGCACCTGGTCCGTTCTCACTCCAGTGCCTGGTGCCCTCACGCGTGCAGTGCTGCCCATTGCAGGGCCATGGACAGTGCACTGTGGGTCCCTCTGGAAGGCAGCATCCCCACGCAGCATGTTGTTCTCACTGCACCCTAGGGGCTAGTTAGGACTCTGGGTGCCATGGGGCCTCCCCAGCAAATTGTGAAGAGAGGGCCTGGCGTGGATCCAGGCTGGACTGGGATCCCAGGGCCCATAGGGGCCTAGCCTCTATGCAACTTCATGTATGGGGGGG